CTTGAGATAAATCTAGATGTTTGTCATCGACGTTTCTATATAAAAGACATCATTCTTAATTACACCCGGATATTCGTCAGCCATGCAAATACTATCCTCTGCAGTTCGTCACAGTTGTCTTAAAAATAAATGAACGCGGCAGCATTCTAATCTTAGGTGGGCATATTTCGGCAACCCGTTCATGACTGAATACGCATAAAGATTGCCTTTTTCGATGTAATCGACTTCACTTTTAAAAAATCAGCAACAGCGGCAAAGACCTGTTACGTACAGGCCATTTTGGATCTGCGATTATAACCTTCAGGGGGTTCATCTGTTCGAAAATCAAACCACTAACAACTGCCAATGAACGTTCAACTCCCTATTACATGGAAATGGCTGGCAGACGCCAATCTTCTTGCCAAGCACTGTATTCGATCACGGGAAGGAGAGCTTTCCTAACCAGCTAGTTCAAATTTGCGTTTGGACCCACCGTAAAAGACAAAAGCAGGTAGTCCTGTTGAATGAACGGGAATGGCGATTAGAACTATCTAAGTTTAAAGCATCTTTCCCTGGTGCAATTTTGAAGCTCGTGCAAACAGTAAAATTTAGTAGATCTATTAATTTCAATAGTGCTTATCAGTTGCTTCCTCTCGTTGCATACATAAATAACGTAAAGGAAAATACAAAACTAAATTCCTACAGAAAAATCGATACAAACAGGAAGGTCGCAGGATATGGCCAAGAGGCAATCAATAACGTAAGAAAGTTAAAACGCTGTGGGCAGCAAAAACGGGTAAAATTGTCGAAGACAAAAAGGTTGGGAAGGGAAATGTGTAAACGGGGAGCCGGTGTTACCACGGCGGAGTTAGATTCACCACAGGTCAGGTTTAAACCGACGTATATAAGCTGCTAGATATAGGCCATTCTGTGGACCCCAAAACCTCTTTCCGAGTACTTGTTCGGGCACGAGCAACTCGCACATTACGCTACCTGGAGGCAGCTTACATACGTCAGTTTAAGCCTGACCTTTGTAAACAACTGGAGCATGTGGTGAATCTAACTCTGCCGTGGTAACGCCGGCTCCCTGTTTACACATTGCCCTTCCCAACCCTTTTGCCTTAGGTATTTTTCCCCGTTTTTGCTGCCCACAGCGTTTTAACTTTCTTACGTTATTGATTGCCTCTTGGCCATTTCCTGTGACCTTGCTAGTTGTATCAATTTTTCTGCATAAATTCAATTTTGTATTTCCTCTTACGTTATTCACTTCATGTAACTGGTGGGCACTCTCGAAATTAATGGATCCAATGTATTTTGCTGTTTTCACGATCTTCAGGCTATCTAAGTATCACTATCTTTGGTCTCTTTACTGCTTCTTGAGGAAACGGGCACCAAAGGAGCCGTACCTACGTATGCGGGACTTTATACGGACACT